CAGCCCCCTTCACAGAGCAGGGAGTGCTATCTGTCCTAGAGGTCTTTCCATGGGCTGGCTCAAGGAGCACCAGTAACGGGAAGAGGCCTCAAACAGGACCCTGAAGTCCTGGCCATCAGACTGGGGGCCATTCCACTGGTCCGTCACTTGAGAACACTACTCCTGAGACACAAGGAATGAGAGAAGGGGTCCAAAGAAATACCACAAGAGGCTTTAGGAAGCTCTTTTCCCTCTGGAGAGAACTTGGGTCAAACTCCACAGCCAGACCTTGGGGGTACTTGGCTTTTTTTTTTTTTCTTTGCCTCATGGGTTCCTACCATGGCTTTCTTGGCCATGCGCTATGTTATTTCCCCTGGAGGAATTTCACTCTGCACAAACAGTCCTTCTGCTGGCTATTTTGGTCAGCGCAGCTGGGCCGGAAGCCAACAAAACAGTGTCTAAGCCCAGTCTCTCCCAGTTGCCTGGCCTGGAAGAATTCAGAGCTGGTAAGGGAAAAGCAAGCCATGGCTGGTTTAAGAGAACAAAGCTGGACCTCAAAGGGCGTTCATAAATGAGCTAAGAGAACTGGCCCGCATGGAGGGAGCAGTGACACTGGCAGTTAAAGACTCCAAAGCGCTGAGAAGCAAGATCCAGCACTGTAATAACCATACAGAAGAGCTCAATACGGGCAAAAGGAACTTCACTGACTTCCAATTCAGGAGGACACTGTGGGTGGCAGCTGGCTAAGCTGGCTAATGCCTCAGGCCAGAGGAGGAGGGTGGAAAAGAAGATTTTGTCTCTATCCAGACACTTTAGGAGCCTCCCCTGTGCCCAACTTTGACCCCAGCCTCAGCCCAGGACCCTTATGTGGGCCCACCATTTCATTAAGAAGTTAAAATTCCCTACATCAGCTAAGTTCCATTATTTCTCTCCATTTCAAGCAAAACCCCTTGCCAGTTACCCATAATTGCTGCCCCTAATTCCTCTCCTGCCATTCCTGGAACTGCTCCAGGTTTTGCCATGCCACAGAGACCACCAGTGACCTCACGTTGCTAAGTCTAACAGTTAATTCTCAGGCCTCATTCTGTGTGTTGATCTGACAGCAGACCCTTTTCTTCTTGAAACACTTCTCCACTTGGCTTCTAGGACACACTTGCCAGGTTGGCCTACCTCTCTAGCTACTTCTTCGAAGATTCCTTTGCTGGGTGCTCCTCTCCTCAAATTCTGATTGGTTGGGCGGCCCCAGGGTACCGTCTCAGCATTTACCTTTCTTCTGTTTACACCTGTTTCCTGGGTGATTTCATCTAGCCTCACAGCTTTAAAAACCAACAGTACATAGGTTCTACGTAATGATGACTTCCAAATTTATATCTGCAGACTTGTATATCCAACTGCCTACTGACATCTCCACATGGATATGTTAACAAGCATCTCAAATCTAACTAGCCACTGATATCGCTCTAATTCTGTGTCTCCTTCAAACTTCCTCATGCAGGGGTTGGAATTCTGTCCTTCTAGCGGTTTGGTGCTAAAAACCCTGCAAGTCATCCTTGCCCCTTCTGATTTTCCACACTCTACATCTGACAGTCAGCAGACACTTTAGGTTCTACCTTCAAAATATATTCAGAATCGGACTGCTCTCACCACCACCTCTTGTTATCACCCAGATTCAGGTCTGCATCATCTCTCCCCTGGTTAAATACAAAAACCTCCTATCTGGACTTCTGACCTTGTTCCCATCAGCCTATTCGCAACATGCATCCAGAATGAAACCTATCCACACTTCATGGTATTCCTCTGCTCAGCCCCCCCCCCCAAACAGCATCCCCTCTCCCATTCAAAGAACCAAAGTCCCCACCACGACACATAAGGGCCCTATGTGACCTGTCTCTTGTGACCCCTCTGACCTATCCCGTCACTCCCCTTCACTGCTTCAGCCACGCTCGCCTCCCTGCGGTTTCCCAACATGCCAGGTTTGGCCCTTTCTCAGGGCCTTTGCACTTGCTGTTCTCCTTCATCCTCCGCCTCCCACCCCAGACTGAGCATGGCTGATTCTCTCCCTTCTCTCCCGTTTTGCTCTCACGTCACCATCTCACTGAAACTTTCCCTGACCACCCTATATAAATTTCATCCTTTCACATTCTTCTATCCTCTGTTCTGTTTTTCTCCTTAGTACTTCCCATATCTAATACCGAGGAGTTATTTATTTATTGTCACCCGCTAAGATGTAGGGATTTCCCCTTGCTTTACCCACTGTTGTATCCCTCCTACTTGGCACATAGTAGGTGCTTAGTATATTCTTTTTGAATGGATGAATGAATGAATCCTGGAGGCTGTAGAGCAGGAGAGCCTAAATGGAGTTTACAAGAGAAAACCCGCAGATGTGTGTGTCCTGGCAGGAGGCTGGGAATCCACTTGCCAGGTCGGCTCAGCTGATACAGGCCCAGATGGAACTCTCAAGCCCGCCAGTCACGTCATGAGGGGACAAGTGCTTGTGTGCAGACCAGCACGGTCCAGTCCTGCTCCTGGACAAATATCTCCAAGCCCACACCTCATCACCACACACCAGGCACCACATTTCAATGCTTCTTTTGATTAACATACACAGGGAGGGGGCTCTTTTCCAAATGAGTTCAGATGAGAGCATCTGCTATATGTACACCCCTCCTCGAAATGGAACTGTCATTTGTTAATTTGCATCCTGCCTGGGTCACACCCACTGGTCCTAGAAGGGGCTCTGGAGAAGTGAGTGGGGACCCAGGGCAGCGGAGGGTGGTGGAAGCTCTGCGCTCTGACAGAGCAGCCCCAGGAAATGGTACAAAGAATCCTGACCTCAGAGCTGTCTTGGAGAATGGGAGAAAAAAAGAAAGCAAGATACACTTTTTCCCCCTAGAAGAGCATTCTGTACAAACACGCTTTCTCTGCTTTAGCACATTTATTTGAGTCACTCCCGCATTCATCCTGGGCGCGAACCAGTTCTGAGATGAGTGCTGACTTCATACCATTTACTGTTCTGAAGGCTGGGAAATGTTTCAGTCTGTGTTGAGGCCAATCTGAGAAGACTTCAGTTAGACACTGACCAGGGGCTGAAATGTTCCACTTCCAATCACACGGCCCTGCCTGCTGTCTCTTATTCCCCAGTCACACTCTCTGAGAAGCCGCTTTGTGATTCCACTGAGTCCCAGAGGAGAGGTAACAAATACCCCAAAGAGGAAGCTCTAGAAAGAGGACATTTGGCAGGGTGCAGGCCAGTGCGTAAGGACAAACTGGCATCTCAGAGCCCTTAGAATCAAAAACAACAGTCACCCAAGCTAAACCTCGGCACTGGGATGGTGAGGCTTCTGGCCAGGTGCGATTCGGCAGCTGAAACAAACTGTAGCTAAGGGAATGAGGTGTCTGGAGGGAGCATTCAAACAGCTGGGCCTGCACACATGCTTTTCCCGTGACACAAACAGCCCTGATCTCAGCACTGCTCGGAGCCGCTCCTGGGGACAGACTGAACAGCATCTCAACTGGGCACTCAGCCCTTTCGCTCTCCGCTGCTCCTGAGCAGAGCTCATCTCCCCAGAGCCCACCAGCCCAGAGCCCACCCTGATGAGAAGCCTGGTCATCCCCCGTGTCAGTGACGGCCTCGGAGCACTCAGAAAGACCACTTCCTAGACACGTGGTAGAGGCCATGGCTTCCCCCAAGCAGTGAGTGCTGGCTGAACTTGCTCCTGGGTTCTCTTTCCATCATCCCGTGAGGCAGCAGAAAAATCAGTTTTCCATTCTGGAATCCTATCAACTAGAACAAATCTACCAGTACCACCTGGGAGCATCTCTTCTAGGGCGATCTCTAATCCCTTCCCTACTTAGGCTGACAATGCCCTTGAGTTGGTAATGTCCCATGTTTTTACCCTCTTAATCCATAGCAAAAAACAAGCAAAACATCAACAAATGCATTCCATCATGATGCACATTTCTCAGTCCAGCTTGTACTGATTTGGTCCAGCATGTAGGCCAAGTTTTCCTAGCTTAGAACTTACTAGAAGTTCCCTAATCCAGTTGAGCTACCCAAAGGAACCAGATGTATCACCCAATAAACTCATAAGAAAGTACTGGAGTTTCTCCAAATAGATTTTACTTCAAATCTTCAGCCCACAAGGTTTCAACTGGACCACATAATCATTTAAACTCAGAAGTGTTCACATCTCTACACTTTCTAATACTCTATACGCACTTTAAAGCAGTGTTTCTCTGCATCTTTCATTCTGTGGCCATTGCCCACCCCTTCCAAAAGAATTACATTTTTCAATCCTTGGAAGCAAGGCTTCCAACATGTGTGTAAACAGAGAATGGAGAAGGCGAAGATAAGTCATAAAAGAAAAATATGCTACATTTCCATCATAGAAATGGGGTGACAAAGTCTAGAAGATTGCTGAACTCAAGCCAATACCAGGGTCTACTGGCTGACAGCAAGTTTAGAATGTCTTCATAAGGGCCCTGGATGGGCAATACTTGCTTAAAGCAGACTCGAATTATCACATGCCTATGGCAAAGGACGGTTCAGGTTACAGAGACCCTGCAGCTTCTCCAGAGAGCTGCCATTAGTCAACAGAAGGAGGAGGAAGTTCAAGGCCAAGATATCCAAATGAACTAACCTATCTGCTGTTACGCCCTGAAGCTCCTTTACCCAGATAATTTGCCAAAATCTTCTTACAGCTTCTTCTCTCCTCTGACAGGCCTCCAGAGGCCCAAACTAATAGAATCGGAGGTAAAAAAACAAAAAAACTGGCCAGTCTATGTGCTGTCAACACTGATGCCAAACTCTTCCTCCAGGAGCCAGTTCTCCCTATAGGGCAGTCAGGTGAGGATCTGATTATGAACTAACTCCACTTGGGTCTCCTTGGCAAAGACACTGTGTCTTTAGCTCATAATTATGTCAGACCAGCTTTTTTTTTTTTTTTCCTTGCTGCTGCTTTCAAATGAAGGGGGTAAGCCTCTCTACAACCAAGGGGAAGAACCAGAATTAGAAAACTTACCAATCGCCCCAGCCAATGAGAATCCATTTCCAACAGGTATTAATGCCTGTTAGAAGCCACTGGAACACTGACATCATCAGCCCAACTGCTAGGTTGTCTGACAGATTCGCCCCCTTCATCGCACACAAGAATTTAAAACAAAACAAGACACTGCAGTTACATTCATTATTGCTGACAACATGTTTCTTTGTGTTATTAATCAAAATGACTTCTATGGTGTGGACTCCTGCACTGTTCCTTTAACAGCCTCTCTGTGAATTGGCCAACACCCTTAACTTTCTAGCCCTAAAAATCTTACCCAAAACACCAACTCAACACCTAGCCCTCCATTATGATACTTAATGCCTTCTGGGTTAGAGCATGCAAGTTTTAGATAGTGCATGCTAGTGCACCTTGAAAGAGTCATCACCTATAAATCATCGCTTAAAATCAGTGTCATGGGGGACCATGAGCCAATTCATTGCTTAAAGCAGATCTCTAGCTCCTCCCTCCCTTTCTCTAGGAATCAACAAGTGAGCAAGAAGTAACCTCAAGAAAAACAAACTTTGGGAGAATGTGCACTGAGAAGAGCCAGAGGGAGTCCCTCTGGATCAAGTTAATTAAGAAACAAACATGAGGGTATATTGGAATCAAAACCAAGGAACGCAGTGAAGACAGGTTTCTCAATTGCCCAGAGGAGAAGACACAGTTCCTTTTCAACTAAAATTAGAAAGCCACTGGGAACATAAGCCAAGAAGCACGGGTAGGAGGCTGAAAACCTTAAGTCAGCAATGGGGATGGAGGTGGGGTGGAGGAAGAAAGTAAGTATCGGTTTTGTTTTTTCTCTTGTCATTCCTTAGGTTTGCACCTGGCTTTTGGAAATCAGCAGTCCCCCCGACGGAGCATCAGCTAACAGGCTGGGAACTCTTTGTCAACAAGTTCTTAAACGGCTAACAATTCTGCTAAGAGCTTGCATGTATCTAGCTGGTACTCAAAGACCCAAGTAAAAACATTAAACGGAGGTTTCTGCCCACTCCGCAGTCTAAGGCGAGAAGTCAGTCATCTGTCCGGGGTGCCCTCGTGTCCGGACACCATCTCTCCATTGGGACATATCGGGAACCAGGTTGGGTTCTATGCCCAGCAGTGCCCATGTGGTTGGCGCCGTCTGCATTTCAAGCATTCCCTTGCTCCTCTCTGCACTCGGGAGGGCCCCGAATCGCTGGCGGGCACCTAGAGTCAGAGTGCAGGAGGGTCCCCCGAACACAGGACAAGGACGAGGAGCGTCGGCCGCCTCCTCGGGGCGGACCCAGGCTATGTCCACGGGCCGAGCAGCACTGAGGCGGGTCGGCAACCAGGCGGAGGGGGGTGCCTGGCCCGCCCGGGTGCCCGCACCTCTTGCCAGCCCCCGGAAGCGCCACCCTCCCGCCCAGCGGGCTCCGAGGGGGCGGGGAGTCGAACGCCCCCTTCCGGGTGCCTCCGCCCGGCTGGCCATCCCCGCTCCTCCTCCGGGCGGGAATCCTCCCTCCCCCGCCCCTCCCGGAGCCGGGCCCCGGCGCCAGGCCCGGCCCCAGGGGGGAACCCCCAGCCCCGGCTCCCCGTCCCTGCGGCCTCTGCCCGTCTTCCCGACCCTTGGGGGCCGGGAAGACCCCGCCGGCAGCGGCGAGGACCCACCGCTCATTACGACATCTTCCTCCCTGGCCTCCGCCGCCTCCGCCGCCACCGAGAGCCTGACACCGCCCGCCCAGCACCCGCCAATCCCGGAGCCCGCCACCGCCCGAGCGACGGCAGCGTTCACCAATAAAAGTTCAGTACATTGGGGACCGACAGCACCAATAACCAATCAAAGAGAGGCATCTAGAGCGACGTTGGTTTAGCCAATCGGCCTGTGAAATGTCACTGATGGACGGTAGAGGGCACCAACCGGAAACCTACTGAAGAGTGAACGACATGTTCGCCAGCCAATTGGCGGGAGGCAAAGTCCCGCCCGCTAGGTGGATGATGGACAGCAACAGGAAGCTAGACGAGGAGGGGTTTAGCCGAGGAGTGGTTTTGTATTGGTCGTGGGTGACCTTCCACCCACCTCGAATCCAAAAGATGAGTGATAGATCTCCCCTAAAGCCAATCAGAAGTCCTTAGGGTGAGGCCCAGAAATGCCCTATAAATAGTACATACATTACACCTCAGTCCAGTGTCGCCCTGGTGTGGCAGGGGCCACCTGCTTTTCGGCCACTCAAGCCCCGTGCCTGGTGAGTGGAAAGCCACCAGCCTTTTATTTAGTCCCTCGCCTTTCAGCGCCTCGGGGGAGGGAAATGAGCCCCCAGGCGACTTTGTGCTGCCAGGCATCGGAGTCCAACAATAGCGGGAGTTGGGGCTACGTGACACTTCTGAGAAAAGGGATTATTTCGCCGTCTCGGTTCAAGCCCCTGTCCATCCTCACCTGGTTATTGCCGCGACCGCCCCCCCTCCCTAACGGGCGGCCCCCCAAAATCTCCTGAAGCTGTCTAAAGGGAGATTTCCCGGGGCTGCCTCTAATAATCCGATTCTGTGTGTCTGGGGCACCCCTGGAATATGCGCTCTGACCAGCGCCTCGGGCGGACAGAATTGGTCCTGCCCCACTTACCTCCTGGAATGAGGTGCTGTGTGAGTACGCACAGCGCTTGGAGGGCGCTGCCGGGCATTATCGAGAAGGAATCCTCTCTGGCATCAGACCAGCCTGGGTTCGAAATTTACACATCGCACTTGGAGAGCGGCAGGGTACTGAAACTCCCCGCGCCTTCCGTCCTCGTCTGTACGAGGAGGCTCACCACACCTACACCTCCGAGCAGCGGCTTCTCTCTCTCTCTCTCTCTTTTTTTTTGAACCATAAGCCACAGCGAGAAATACATTCGAATCCTGATACAGTACACTTACACTCCTGCGAGAATGTATAACAAAGTTTCCGCAAACAATACTAAACCTTCCCACCCGTGAGACGCTGATATTTTCTATCCTGTTAACCTTCCTTCCTCCCTCCCTTCCTTTCTGCCTGCCTTCCTTTTCTTGATTATGGCTGGCAGTTTGAAAAACGCTATCATAAAGGGTTGGAGTGATAAAATACAGAGCCAATGCCCTGTATGTAGGAACTGATGAATAAATGTTAATATTCTCTTCCAGTCTACCCCTCCCAGCCTTAGCCTTTGGAAAAACAAAGCTCTAGAAGCTATCCCTCCTCTACTTAAGATCTTTCATTGGCTCCCGATCTATGCCTTTCTGGATAAAAAGCCCAAACTCCTTTCTAGGAGGCAAACCGTAACCTTTACACTCATTTGTGGATTTTTCCTACTCCGCCCTATTCCCTTTCTACAGATCCTACCTACCCTTTTGCCTCAAGGAAAAATTCCACATTTCTTAAACACTTCTATTTCCCTTCCTACTTTATCCTTCCTTTCTCCTGGTAAACTCCTATACATCCTTCAAGATCCTGCTTAAAGTCTGAACACCTAACTCCTGCTGAGCCATAGCAGAGGGCTTGGCTCGCTAACACTGCACTTCTGTTTTCACTTCTGACCCCTGCTGTACTGTGAGCTGCAGTGGAAGGTTTGAGGCCTGTACAAGAGGACTGGCAGGAAATGAATGCGGAGTTAAAAAATGAATATTTGCATACAATTACATCTACATAGGACTTGTTTATGTAGACCATACATTCTGTTCCCATGTCATTTTTCAAGTTAAGATTGCTTCACTGTCAGGCCAAGGACTCCACCCCGGTTCAGTGACTCAGCTGTATTAGGGTGCAGGGAGTTTTTGGGGGGGGGTGAGGTTGAATATCCTGCTGGGCCACTGCCAAACCTTTTGTGGGACAAAAGCTGTGCTGCTGCTCTCACCCCAGAGGCCCCATCATGAAGACAGCCGAAGTGGGGGGGGGGTGCATGTGTGTGGGTGGGGGAACAGGGTGCAAAAACAGAACTTGGCAGCCCTTGTGAGTTACTTGAATTGTTCTTCTCTTTTAAAGACCGCCATTGCCTTGTTTTTTTCTTTCTTTCTAGGCTCTCTTGCTCCTTTCTTACCAGAAGCATAGCTGAGGAAGGGGGCACTTTCTAAAGACAGGAGTCCCTTATACTTTTGTCAGGACCGTTGGAGTCTTTGAGCCTCATTTACAACCCCCTAAAACCACCATACAACGTCTCTTCCCACAGGGCGCTGCTTTCAAGATGGCCCCCATCCCCATGAGGGGAGGGAGGCCAGGCGGGCAGCCTCTAATGTCCACTTTCTCCCTGGCCGCACTTCAGACTCACTGGAGAGCTATTCATAAATTCTGAAGTCTAGGTTCCATCCCAGGTGGAGAAAATCAGAATCTCCGGGGGTGGGACCCCGGCGACCCTATTAAGTAGTTAGTTCCTCAGGCAGCCAAATGTCTCAGTAGCCCAAAGATATCTGTCGACTGTGGGTGCCAAGTGAAAAACTGTGAACAGTCTCACCCTCCTCCCTCCCCCACTTCTGTCCCTCCCCTTCCTGAATTTCACCCCTGCTCCCCCTACCTGCCTTGGTCTTCAGGGAGCCAGGGCTGACAGGTGGTTCCCGCTGTGTCTCACCCGCGATGGGCCTGGGGGCAGGTTCTGTCTCTCTCTCTCTCTCTCTCTCTCTCTCTCTCAGTGATATTTCCCTTCTTGTTTCTAACTACTCTCAGCCTCTTGTTCTAAGCGGTTGATTTCTCTCTCTTTCTCATTTATGCCACCCCTTAAGGCCCCATGTTTATCTTGTTCACCCCTGCCCCTCCCCCCCGCCCCCCACAGCACACTGCTTGCTGTAGGGTAGGTGCACAGTGATGTTTGTTGACTGACTAAATGACTGCATCCTTTTAACACTTTTCGTGGATTCCCTTTTCTGCCAGGCCCAGCTTCCTCCACCTCCATTTCACTTCTTCTTCCCGGTCTCCCTCTTCACCTCCTTCCCTCTCGATTCTCCCCTGCTTTTCCTGCTTCCTGACACCCCCCCTGGCCTCTTTTGCATGTAGTTGCCCGCATCTCATTCATTAGTGCATCCATCCCCAAGGATGGGCAAGAGCACCAGAGGGAGGGCGGGACGCAGAACTGCAGTTTCTGCCCTTAGGAAGCTCCAGATTCCTTCTGGGGTCTTCTGTGAAAGAATGGTGCAGCGGGTGCTGGATGTCCAGAAGCTAGAGGAACGTCAGTGTCCCGCCCTTGACTATCTGTTGGTCCTCACTCATCACTACAACCCGAGCTTTATTGTTTATTTTTGAAGAGTTACAACCAATTCAGCCTTCGAAAGCCGGCTCATTCTCCCTTAAGGATCTTCCCAGTAGCCTCTGCTTCTCCCATTTCCCTCCTCTGGTTTTCCACATTCTCATTCCTTCTCTTTCCACCTACAGAGAAATCAAAGTTGCAGACTTGTCGAACCATCCCTGCCACTCCTACTTGCCCAGAGAAATGTGGGACAAACAACTAGTTTAAGTGAAGCCTCATTACTTTTTTTCTCCCCAGCCCATCTATGATTTCAGTGATCTAAGTTCCTTAGTCTTCTATGAGCACGAAACATTGACCGAGGCTGTAAAGTGTATCTCCCTATTATACTCTGGCAGCTACCCCACCCTGCACCCCAGGGGTGCGCACAGAGACACCCCTTTCTCCACTGTCCAGGGATGCTGCTCCTGACCCATGCCCTGACTTGTCAGCTCCCTCTGTCCCTGGTTCCCCTGCCAGACCCGATGGCTGGCCGCCAACTGCCATGGAATCTTCCAGCAAGAACATTCCACCCATCCTTCTCCACAGAGTTCTTCCTTCTTACCTGGTTCTTTCTACCCCCTAATCCCCTTGGGATGAGGTCTGTGGAGCCTCAGGAAGAAAGGGCAGGGCCTCCTTCCCCCCTCCTCCCTCCTCCCTTCCCAGGGAGCAGCCCTTTAGGGTCGAAAGCACCTGTGCCCGCGCAGCCTTCGCTTGTCGCCACTAGGGGGCGTCCAAGGCACTTCTAAAAGCAGGTGCTGGGTTTTTATTTTTTATTTTATTTTATTTTTTTTAAAGATTTTATTTATTTATTTGAGAGA